TTCCGACTCAATGGCACCTGACAACAACAACATATCAAAATATTTAAGAGAAATAAAAATTTGCCATGACTGTAGACTGTGACCTTAAGTATGTTCAAGATATTTCTCCTGGCATAGAAATGTAAAGAATCAAGGTACAGGATAAGCACTGGATGGCTAGCAGGAAGGTTGGTGGTTCAAACTCACCAACCACTTCTTGGAAACCCTATACAGGGTTGCTATGGACTGTAATTGATGCGATGACACTTAACAACAACAATTCCAGATTGGTTTTAATATATATATCATTATATATCATATTTGAATAAAATTCTAAGTTATTATTATTAAAACATTAAGACGAGATAGAGCAAAGCAACTATTTTCTTAAGAGAGTTTATGATGACTACTGGGGAAAGCAAAACAAAACACAACTATGTCAATCAAATGTAGTAGATATAGAGTTTTTGAGTGAACACAATGGAAGAACAAAAATAAGGACCTTTGAAAAGAATGCAGTATTAATATTGTTCAACCAAACAGAGTGCATAAATTGTGTGTACGGAATGTGTATACATAATGCATCATTTAAAGGGGCTTCATTTGGTAGAGATGAGTTACTTCTACTATCTGCACATATTCTAGATAGTAAATGCTAAAAATAGATTATTTTTACTAAAAATAGGATTTATTGACTTATCATATTGAAAAGAAAGTTGAGAAAACAATGAAGAGAAATGATTTCCTGGACTTAGTTATGTAACAAGGTGAATAGAAATAAATATGCTCATGGATAAAAGTGATACAATTATCTTCATGTGAGTAATAGATACCAAAGGACACAATGGAAATAAACAGATATTAATTATTCCAGACTCTATTCTAAAAGCTTTAAAATTTTACTTAATCCCTATAAAGATGAAAAGAAATCACATTAAATAAAATTAATGTAACTTCATAGAACATTACTGGCAATCCAATATAAAAGGACAATTAGATATTAAAATATAGTCAAGGACAAAAGAAAATAATGGCATGGAAACACAGATCGTGTCACTAAAGTTAACCTCAAATTGAGTTAAGGACTTCTAAAAGTGTCTATGAAAATAATATTTATGGGGGAAAAAGAAAACAAAAAGTTCAGTCTACTGATTATGACCAATTGACTGAGGAAGAGAAGATAAAACTACTTGATTCTAGAGTCCTTTTCATTTTTACTTCATGTTGTTATTCTGAAGTTCATTTTATGTTGTCAAAGATGAAAAGGAGTTACAGTCATCTCCTTATAGTCTACTTATTCCTTTATGCACTTCAATCTGACTTCTCAACAAATATTTATTAAACTCAGAAGAAAATTGACAAACAAAAAATAAAGTTGCATTGTCTTTAATTTCATGGTCAAGATGAAACTCATAGAAAAGGATAGTTGAAGCACATTTTGCTGTATTTAATGAACTCAGGGATTATATCCCATGTAAAAATGTGGAACTATGAAAAGAGTTATATAAAATGGAAAAAGGAAGTCAAAACAAAGGAGCTGACTTGAAAAGCAGGAATACAGCAGAAAGCAAGGAGCAGTTGTGCTGTTGGTAGGGATTCAGTGGTAATGAGCACCACAGTATTTATTGGTGTGGTGTTGTAGGATAGGCACTGGATTGTAATAAAAAAATTAGCAGTACAAACCCAGCAGTCACTCCTAGCAAATCTTATACAGGTTGCTATGAGTCAAAACCAACTTGATGGCACTGAACAGTAACAGAAAATCTTCTAAAGAAGGCTTCTTTTCTAGAATGGGTCTCCCTAATACTCACACACTTAAGGCATAACCAAACCCAAAGCAAAGCCGCGGTGTCAATTCTGATTCATAGTGACCTGTAGGATAGAGTAGAACTACCCCACAATGTTTCCAAGCCTGTACATCTTTACTGAAACAGACTGCCAGCATGGGTGGTGGGTTCAAATTGTTGTCCTTCTGGTTAAGTCACTTAACCACTGTGCGACCAGGGCTCTTCATTCTGGGAATGGTTACTAATAATTCTTTAAATTCTTTAAAGTTACTTTATCTTTATGTTGGTAAAAAGAGTCATCATCACTTGTGTGTGCTACTGCTGAGAGTTACACAATCTTTTTACAAAAACAAAGACAGCCATAAGGACAGGCCCTTCAATTATTGCTGCTTCCAGAAACAATACTGGAGGCTGAGGTGGAAGCACTTATGGTACAAGTCATCCAAAGCCCTCCAGGCGCTTATGGAAGGAGTACTGCTTGACCGTTTAGAAGCACAGCAGACCCAGTTTGGGCCATGGCAGAAGAATGCAAACATGAGAGGCTATCCCTGATTGCCTGCCTACTTGTCACCCAGTATAAGAGGGTAGTGACAGTTGCTGTTACACATACTCTTAAGGAGTAATAAAAATGGACAGAGAACATAGTGAGATAGAAAGTCCAGAAATTCAATGAATAAACCTTAGGGACTGAGTGGAAACTGGCCCTGTAATTACCAGTAGGGGTAATTAAAGGAAAAGAGGGTATTAGAAGCGAAATGTTCAAAACAAATAATAATGAATCTTAATTTACACCTTAGATCAAATGAGAAGAATTTATAATATTCTGCATAACTTTTGATGTCACATTTAAAAGAAAAAATCTGCTAAAATAGAATCAACTAAGAAGCTGCATGAAGGAACATGAACTACCTGGAAAGCTTACTTAGGTGGGTCAAGTTTGAAAGAATTGGAGACGGCTTTCTACTGAAGGACATAAAAAACCTAGGAGGCAAAAACACCTATTCTAAGAGCTGTTATCTGAAAAAGGAATTGGTTTCTATGCTATGAAATTATTATTACTATGACTGATGAGGGGAGTTTTATAAAGACAAAAGTTTCAGGTCAATATAGGATTCTGAGCAATATGATAGTATAACAATGCTTGTATGTTTAAGTTTTACACACCTCTTGCAGGGCATGGAAATGCAATGCGTTGATTGACCACTCTTTCTTGGAATGGATTGTTATATGGAGGTTCAAGATCTTCCAGTATAGGTGGTTCTATTAGAAAAATGAATGCATAATTATCAGGGATTCCCTGGGAAATTTCAAACTGTCCTGAAGCATCATCAGTATGTCTCCTACTTCCAGATAGCTCACACTTGTGAACCTGAACTCTAAGTGACTCCCCAAAATTATTTTCATGCTTCCTACAATCTTACTTTCCTTCCTCTACTCTTTTAGTTAGGACATCATGCTCTACCCATTCTTATGTTTTCCCCCTTTACTCCTAACTTCCACATCTCATTGGTCACTAAATTTCATCATTTCTTTGTTCCTATATTTTAGCTTAAGGAGCTCTGGTAGCATAGTGCTTACGAGACAGGTTGCTAACCTCAAGGTTGGCAGTTCGAAACTACCAGAGCTGTTCCTTCTTTAGTGCATCCTTTCTCACTGAACAGCCCCACTACCCAATCATTTCAGGAAAAATCATTCTTGAGGTCTTCATCTCCTTCATACCCCATATAGAATCCATCACTATATTAGAATTATTTTAATTATCTCTTGTGGTAGGATGAATGCTGTAGGATGAGTACTGGAACGCTAACCATGGGTCAATGGTTTAAACTCATCAGCCGCTCCTCAGAAACCCTATACAGGGTCACTACCAGTGGGAACCCACTCAACTGCACTTAACAACAATAATTATCTCTTGAGGCCACCTACGTCTGTCCTTAGTCACCACCCTTCCAATCCCATTGTCAACATCTTTTACCTGAGCTACTTCAATAATATACAACTATTGCTCCTCACATTCTCTTGTCCCTTCCAAACCATTCTCTTCCCAAAGAGCAATCTTTTAAAATCCCAAATCAGACACATCACTTTCCTGTTTCTAACTTCTCAAAGTCTTTACAATACATTTAGAATAAAATCTAGACTCCTTAATCTGGGTTCCTAGGTCTTGGATAATGTAGCCCATGATGTGTCTTCAGCTTCATCACATTCACTCAGTCAAGAATGTAGTTTTTATATGTTTTTTGTTTTTATCCCATATGCCCTCCTTTCCACATTTTATGTTCTTTCTTAACCTGAAGTTTCTCCATACTCTCCCCTCTCAATTAATATGCTTCTACCATTGAAATTTTAAATGTCACAAGCTTAGCGAAGCCTTCTCTAATTTGTCTTTCATTTAAACGTTCATATAGCTCTACCAATTCAAAATAACACTACCCAGTTTGTAAGCGTGCATTTTAAGAAAAATTTTTGAATGTCTATCTTTTCTATTTGTTGTTGTTGTTAAGTGCCGTTGAGTAGGGTCTGACTCATAGTGACCTTATACCGAGTTTCTGAGGAGTGGCTGGTGAGTGTGAACTGCCAATCTTGCAGTTCAAACCGACATCACAGTGCAGCACATTAACACACAGCATGAGAAAATCACTTTACAGTGAATGTTTACAAACTGGATAGTTTTATTATGAATCTTTTCCACTAGAGTCCTGGTGTTGTGTTGTATAATAAGCACTGGACTGCAAACCAAACGGTCGGCAGTTCAAATCCACCAGGTGATTCTCGAAAACCCTGTACAGGGTGGCTATGAATTGGAACCAACTCAACAGCTCTTAACAACAAAAAAATATTTTCCACTGGACTATAAACATAAGCACTCAAATAAAACCTGTTGATTTGAATGAGTGAGCTCAACAACTCTCCAAATGTCATAGCCATCCATCCAAAAATATATCCATAGGCTAGATGCCATCTGGAGTCCTGGTGTGGTGCTGTGGATTAAAGCACTGGACTGCAAGATCAGTTTGAACCACAAGGTTGGCAGTTCAAACTCACCAGCTGCTCCTTGGAAACCCTATATGGGGTCTCTGAGTTGGAATCGACTCCATGGCACATAGCAACCACAGGTGCTAACTGGAGTCACTGTTTAGCTTAGTGCTATAGGATAAGCACAGGACTGCTAACCACAAGATCTGTGGGTCACCCCTCCAGCCACTCCTTGAAAACCCTATACAAGGTCACTATGCAGTTCAAAACAACCTTAGGGTCAAATGCTTATCCTATAGAGCCATACTAGGATGTTATGGATCAATTTTTAGTGTATCTTACAATAGGAGGCAAAATCCGACTCCAACTCACTATGTCCACTATTTCTTCCCAACCAAAAATTGTGGGTAGAACATTTATCTGGGATTATTTCTATTATCTGCATCATGCTCTGGTAGCGTAGTGGTTACGAATCGGGCTGCGAACCTTAAGGTCAGCAGTTCGAAACTACCAGGTGCTCCGCGGGAGAAAGATGAAGCTTTCTACTCCCGTAAGGATTTACACCCTCGGAAACCCTGTACAGGGTCGCTATGGGTCGGAACCGACTCGATGGCACTTAACAACAACAACAACATCATGCATAGCAATTTTGATTTAAAAAATAAACATGCTTAAATTAAGGCAGATTAACTACTAGTTAGTTTTAGTGTTTTCTGGAATGGTTCTGTTTTCAGAGATAATTGAAGAAACATTTTTATGTTTTAAAGTTAGATGGAAATCTTCCTAAAGTAATTTAAGACAGTAACAGACTCCAGGGGTATACGCCCATCCTCCAGCCATACATATACTTTCCTGTGCCAAAACTCACCTTGGACGTGTAGCGTTATCTCCGTTTTATCACTGCCTGCTATGTTAGTAGCAATACATGTATAGACACCAGCATCTGAGAGCGTGGCTTGGTCAATGCTTAATGTTCCATCTGGATCACTAATATGCCCCACTCCATCAACAACCACAGCCCTGCCACCTTTAAACCAGGTGATTACAGGAGAAGGCGTTCCTTGAGCATGACATAGGATATCCACTCTTTGACCAACCTGGACTTTCATAAGTTTAGGGCCACGCTGAATCTTTGGAGGAACTGAAAATAACATTTGAGTGTTAATAACCCAAAATTAAAAAAAAAAAATTCCTTCTTTTTCTCATTCTAAATAAAAGCTTCTTACCAAAAGTCAACTTGGGAAAGTTAAAAAGAAATAGTCATCTCAATATTTGAGCCAGTGCTTGGGCACCTTACCAGCTATGTGATCTAGAGTAAGTCAAAGAATGAACTTCCTGAGACCTATTGCCTCAATAAGAGACATATAATAATCACTTCTATACCAATTCATGGAGTCCTGGTGTGACACTGTGGGTTAATGCACCAGACTGCAAAGCTGTTTGAACTGCAAGGATGCAGTTCAAACTTACCAGCCGCTCCTTGGAAACACTATACAGGGTCGCTATGGGTTGGAACTGACTCGATGGCACTTAACAACAACAACATACCAATTCATTGTAAGCATAAAGGGAAATGATAAACATGAAACTGTTAGTTCCACCCTTGAGACACAACAACCATTTTTAAATGTTTTCAGAAATGTTTTGAATTCAGAAATAACTTACAGATTTGAAGCACTTCTAAATGACTGTATGGCACCTAACAACACAAAAGGGTGGACCAGATAATTTCTAAAAAGACAAAAGAGTAAGCCCCAAAGCATTTGTTTCCACGTGCTGTAATCTTAGTTCTTTTTGTGGAAGGTTTCGTCAGATGATGGGAAATGTTTCTTATAGAAGTATTAGCTAATTTTATAGAGAAGAATCAAGAAAGAACTTCTATTTCCCTTTACTGATTTTCCCTTAGAAATAAAAATATATACGTTATCAAAACACTGGCAAAAAATTATTGGTTTTCACATGTACACAGTCAACTTGATGATAGAATCAATTTGACTCATAAAGATACAATTAGAATTTATTTTATCTTACCTCTCTAAAAAGCCCCCATTTCTCTCTTCTTTTAAAAAAAAAAACCTTAATTATTTAGTAAATATTTTCTAAAGACTCCCATTCATAACAGTCTTATAAATGTGGTACAATTATTATCATCATTTTATGAATGAGAAAGTTAGAGACAAAGGATAGGTAACATGCTAACAATAATGTCCTAGAGAATTATTGATATTAATGAGCGAGTCAGAAATCACATTATGCATCAGCTTTCAAAGCCCACAATCCATGAGTCACTATTGTAGTGACTGAACTAAGAAGGAAATCAGATCAATACTGCCTGAGGAAATTTTCTTCTGATATTTGAGTATCTAGAATCTATACAGTGGCTGGCATAAAGAATATACTTAGTACATCTGTGTTGAATGAGTGAATAATTAAATGGGATATAGTAAGTTGGGGAGATAAATCAGACTAACTAGAGAGTTCAAAGCAGAAAAATTCCTAAGAGGCAGAATTTTTTTCATTTGCTAAGCTCTTTAAAATTAAAAAGTCCAATTAAGATAATATAAAATATACTCATGAAAATTCATATGTACTGTTACAAAAAGCTCATAGTTTCAACTCATTTTTCTCTACCATATGTCAACAATAGTAATTAAATGAATGGACATCTAAAAAAATTAAGATCCAAAAATTTAGTAAGTGTTCATTTAAAGAAAAAGAGCGGGGCTTGCTTATACATAGCAGGTAAATTTTTCAGAATAGTACGTAATAAGATGCATGTCAAATTTTAAAATTGTAAGTATCTCATATTTCATCATTACTCTGTGTTTAACTGGAGTTAACACGCAAAGACACTAGGATGATGGGTTTTCTTTGTGGCCAGTCCACAGTGTTATATGATTGCACTTCACAACTCACCATGGACATTTAGCTTAACAGCCTGAGTCACATTCCCAGCAATGTTTGTGGCAACACAAAGATACATCCCACTATCTGAAATGCGGGTTTCAGTGATCTTCATCGAACCAGAAGGGAGGAACGTGTGTCTAAAAGAAAAAACAACAACAATTAACATCGTAGACCATGATTTTGTTATTAAGAACCACTGAATTGGTTCTGACTGATAGTGACCCTGTATAGGATTTCCAAGGAACAGCTGCTAGGTTTGAATTGTCAACCTTACAGTTAATAGTCAAGTGCTTATCCTACAGTGCCACACCAGGATTTCATAGTAGACCATGAATGAGAATTTAAATGCCTCTTTTGCAGCTGTACTTTGGTATGAAATTACTACTCTTCAAGAAGTTTATAAAACCATTATCCCATCTGTAATGTCATCTCTGTACATCTTAAAAGTCAAGGATTTTCCCAATTGTACATTAGGTACGATATTCAGTTTTTTGTTTACATTTAAATCTATTCTGTTGTTGTTGTTAAGTGCCACTGAGTCAGTTCTGACTGATAGCAACTCTGTAGAGTGTTTCCAAGGAGCAAATAGTGACTTTGAACAGCCAACCTTATAGTTCAAACAAACCTGTGATCCAGCGCTTATACTACAGTGCCAATGCCAACTAATTTTACTATTCCTCTTCTTTACAAAATTGCATATATACAAAGCAAATCTATATCTTAGTAATTGTTTTATTTTGAATGTTTTCTTATTTTTCTACAGTGCTTCCTAAAAAATGTGTATGTTAAGATTAAGGCAAAGGAAGATATACAGGTAATTCTCAAACACATAGAATATAATCCCCCCCATCATGTGGGAGTAATACTGTTAGTTGGGTGAACTGTATATAAAAAGGCTATTAGAATAATTATGCTGAAACAGCTTTAATGAGGAAGAGGCTAGAATGACCTACACCCAAAATCAAGACTTTTCATAAAACTAAATTAAATAGTGTATGCTACTGTGGGTCAATGCGTCAGACTGAAAAACCGTTTGAACTGCAAGATCAGCGGTTCAAGCTCACCAGATGCTCCTCAGAAACCCTATACAGGGTTGCTATGGGTCCGAACCAACTCAACGGCACTTCACAACAACAACAACCATCAAATTAATCATTTCAGTGGACCTTTATTTGTGTAAGGAATTAATCAAGAAGACAAATCCTAGACATAGAGAAAGATGAGGTTATGTTTGCATAAAGATTTACAGGCTTGGGAATCCTACGTAGGTTGCTATGAGCCAGAATCAACTTGATGGCAGTGGATTTGTTTTAGGTTATACCTATACCCTCTTGGTGGGAGGGTAGGTAAATTAGACCAACCTCTTTAGAAAGCAATGTTGATTAGAGCTGAAAATAAGAGTGGTGCGGTAAGGATAAACACTGGATTGTTAACCTCAAGGTTACCAGTTCAAATTCACCAGCAGCTCCTCAGAAACCCTCTACAGGGTTGTGATAAGTCAGAACTGACTTGACAGCACTTAATAAAAGAAGTTAAGCTAAAGGAACCCTGGTGGAATTGTGGGTTAGGTGTTGAGCTGCTAATGGCAATGTCTGAGGTTCAGACTCATTATCTCTGTAGGAGAAGGATGAAGCTGTCTGCTCCTAGAAGGATATACAGTCTCAGAAACCCTACACTGGAGCACTATGGGTTGGAATTGACTCAGTGACAGTGAGTTTTTTAGTAGAGCAGAAAATAGGAAGTCCCTTGACTAAAAGCTATAATTGTAGTACAGACCTTAAGAAACACAGGTATATAATTATAATGGCATATAAAATGATATTCACTGAATTTTGTTGTTGTTTAAAAAAAAAGGAAAGGAAGGCAAGGAGTATGGAGAAAGGCAGAGAGGAGGAAAAGAAAGAAGGAAGGAAGGAAACAGCAATATTAATGGTAATAACAGGGTAATGGATAAATAAAATAGGGATTATGCATATAAAATAGTTAAAATGAGTAAACTAAATCTGCATGTATAAAAATAGATTGTTGTTGTTGTTGTTGTTGTTGTCAGATGCCATCGAGTCGTAACCGACTCATAGCGACCCCAGGCACAGCAGAATGAAACAATGTCCGATCCTGGGCCAACCTCACTACCGCTGCCACACTTGACGCCATCAATGATGCCACCTGGCTGATTCATCTCGTTGGGGGTCTTCCTCATTTTTTCTGACCCTCCATCTTACCCAGCATGACATTCTTCTCCAGCGACTGTTCCCTCCTGACAATACGTCCAAAGTATGAGAGACGGAGCTTAGCCATCCTGGCCTCCAAGGAGCACTCTGGCTGCACTTCTTCCAAAACAGATCTATTGGTTCTTTTGGCAGCCCATGGCACTTTTAGTATTCTCCTCCAACACCACAACTCAAAGGCATCAATTCTTCTACGAGCTTCCTTATTCACTGTCCAGCTTTCGCATCCATATGAGGGTACTGAAAATACCATGGCTTGGGTCAGGCGCACTTTAGTCCTCAAGCTGACATCTTTGCTCTTCAAAACTTTAAAAAGTTCCTGTGCAGCAGATTTGCCTAATGCAATGTCGTCTGATCTCTTGACTGCTGCTTCCGCAAGTGTTGATAGTTGATCCAAGAAGAATGAAGTCCTTGACAACTTCAATCTTTTCTCCGTTGATAAGAATGCTATTTATTGGTCCAGTGGTGAGGCTTTTTGTTTTCCTGACATTGAGATGTAATCCATATCGAAGGCTGTGCTCTTTGATCTTCATCAGTAAATATTTTAAGTCCTCTTCACTTTCAGCAAGCAAGGTTGTATTATCTGCATATCTCAGGTTGTTAATGAGTCTTCCTCCAATCCTGATGCAACGTTTTTCTTCACAGAACCCAGCTTCTCATATTATTTGCTCAGCATACAGGCTGAATAAGTATGGTGAAAAAATACAACCTTGTCGCAGACCTTTCCCAATTTTAAAACATTCAGTGTTCCCATGCTCTGTTCGAACAACTGCTTCTTGGTCCAGGTACAGATTCCTCAGAAGTACAATTAAGTGTTCTGGAATACTCATACTTCTCAATGTTGTCCATAGCTTGTCATGATCCACACAATCGAAAGCCTTTGCATAGTCAATAAAGCATAGGTAAACATCTTTCTGATATTCTCTACTTTCAGCCAAGATCCATCAGACATCAGCAGCGATATCTCGCGTTCCACGGCCTCTTCTGAATCCAGCTTGAACCTCTGGAAGTTCTCTGTCAATGTGTGATTGTAGCCGTTTCTGTATTACCTTTAGCAAAACTTGACTTGCTTGAGATATCAAAGAGATTGTCTGATATTAACAAATACAGGAAGTGATGAAATGATAATATATGTTACTTTAGGCAAATTAAAAACAGACATACACACAAAAAATTAAAAACACAGAAAACAATAATGAAATTATTTCAGGATAAGTGTATACAAAGTACATCAAATTTGTAATAGTATTTGCCCTCAGAATAAATGAAAGAATTCGTGAGTGAGAAGAGGAATAAAGGAACTCCAAGTTTATATTTAATGCTGTATTTCTTTTATTCAACAGTATTCAGTCGTTTTATTGCCAAGAAATAGTAAAATTATATAGTCATTCTTTTTTTTTTTTCTTCCTTATCAGTAGTAGGGAAACTATAGTAACATGGATTTATAGCTTCATAAATATTTGTATACTTCAGCAACTCTAATATGTTATAGCTATTCCACTAGTAATTTTGGCATGGTGCTGAGTTAAAATAGTCATGCTACCATTTTTTGAGAACTAGAGACTTGGGGATGTAAAATACGGGTTACATAATTCCTTCCGGTCAGGATGATCTGTATTTTACATACTGGAAATCTGAGGTTCAGAGCAGCTTCCTGAAAAATAATGCCAAAAGTTTCAGGTAAGCTTTAAGTGGCAAAGGTAAAGTCATACCTGCCTGTGAACAAAAGTTGTGCTCTTAAAGACTGTAGTCTGCTTTTCTTGTCACCTAACCATCAAATTGTGGCACTGTGGGTTAATGCGCCAGACTGCAAAGCCGTTTGAACTGCAAGGTTGGTGGTTCAAGCTCACCAGCTGCTCCTTGGAAACCCTAAACAGGGTCACTATGGGTCAGAACCGACTCAATGGCACTTCACAACAACAACAACCATCAAATTAATCATTTCAGTGGACCTTTATTTGTGTAAGGAGTTAATCAAGAAGACAAATCCTAGACATAAAGTGCGTATTGTATTTGATTTTTCCTGTAGCATTACCAAATTTCTATGTGAACTACATACATTGTACTAACAAGAATATATATACAAAGCTGCACCTTTTAAGAAATACCTTACAAGATACACCAGCGGGAAATAATGTTAAAGCTTGGGTATTAGCATTTCTAATAGGAAAGAATGAATTAAATAATAAACATACATTTCCTGTCAGTTCATATGCACTTACACGTTTTTCAGATTTAAAAGCCATTTTTGAGACATTAGTAAGTCTGAGTGAGTTGGCACTGTCATCTGTCTGTAGAGGTTATATTTGCACATGTCACAATTCATACCAGATGGCCTACCTTGGTGAGAATGGAGAGATAAGCTGGGTCTCTCTGGCCCACGTAATTATGGGGGGAGGTAAGCTCTTCACTTCACATGGGAGTGTCACCTCTTCCCCTGCAATGACTGAGATCTCAACAGGTTTCTCCTGTGATAGTCCTAGTTGGTCTCCAAACACTCTGGGTCGGACTAAAACAAACACATTTATGGGAGGGAGAAGGGAAATAGCACATTAAAAACAAAGTACACCTTCATTTCCATGAAAATGTAGACTACGGATGTTTTAAAATAATTTACAAAAAGATGCTGCTTTTAGGGCATACGTAAAGCTTCTCATTAATGTGTTTATTGTGAAAGGTAACAGGAAAAACACAAATGTTTTCCTCTCAGCTCTTCCCCTCAGAACACTATAAAGAGCTCAGCTGAAATACCCTTTTAAAGCATGCCATTTGCAAAAGTAACCCCTCAAGGCAGAGCACTAACCAAAACATTGCTGAGGTTTGGCTTTGCTGAGAGTTTGAACTAACTGGTGTTACTGAAGTTGGTTGGGTGCAATAAGCATATTCCGTGGGAAAAAACACCATAAAACTTTCCAGAAAGGCTATACTGTAAGGACCAAACTGATTTTGCCTGATTTTGCCTACCTAGAGACTGCTTGACTAAACTCTAGTCAGGCTCAGGAAAGCATTTTAAATAGACAAGGCCTCAGTTTTTAGTTCCCTCCAGAGACAAGGTCAATCTCCATTCTGTACATTAGCCTGAACA